CGCGTAGCGTGAGGTGTCCAGGTGGGCTCTGCAACTCATCACTCACGGAAAGAAGGAATGATTGACTCTGCTGAGCGATTCCATCTCAGACAAGAAGTTGTTGAAATTCAGGACCACTTTCCCCCAAAGCGTTTTCATAAACACCATGAGGGTGCTCCTGACGGTACCTTACTCCGCTATTTGTTTGCTCGTTCGCGGTTTGGGCGGTGCCCCTCGCGCATCGCTGGCACTTGCCCGCCTCATGCGTCAGCGAGGACGCAAAGGATCGGCCAACGATGACCTCTCAGCCCAGGCGGCCGTCCAGGATTACAACTCCAGTATCAATCGCAGAATGTCTGCAAAGGAACGTCCTTGCAACTTCTACTTTTATCCCTTGCAAATTGGTGCCCTTGACCCCCCATTTTGCAAGAGTGAGGCGCTCCCCCCCCCCCAAATCATCAATGAATCAACCAGGGCCTTCACAAAGGTTGGGATCCCCGAGGCTTTTATGCCTGCCGCTTGACAGGTCCGCTCGCCTGCCAAGGCCCTTTGCCAATGAGCTCGTTGAACTCCACGTCTGTATCCAACGCCTCGATGGCCGAATCCCCGAGAAATAGCCCCGCAGGATTCACCTCCCTGAAACTCATGCTAAAACCTGGGCATGGTGCTTAAAAGGCTTGGTGGCAGTCATCTGTCAATTAGGGATGAGATAGTTTGAGGGTCCAGGAAGACGTAAGTTTCTCGATGGCACATACATCACGCAATACCAGTGACGCCGGCGAAGCCCTTGGGCGGAGGTTTCAAAATACTCTACTGCAAAAAACATGTGCTGTCAAACGAGGCAAGTTTTCTTTGCGCAACTTCTTTTGGGGAACCAACTTTGTGAGTTCTACTTGCAGGGGCGAGCAGCGAGCAAGCAAGAGTGCCAAGTGCCCCAGGGATCGCAATTGAAAAAGAATTTGTCCTTCCATGCAAAGTCCGCAGGTTTGTCCGACCAGCTTTGGAGAAAATAGACTGGGTGAGTTTCAGTTTCACGGCAGCCAAGCTGGTGAGCAGGAGCAAAGCAACTGGCCAGCTATGGCATGCAAAGATTTGGGATTGAAACGGATTCGCTGACGCTTTATAGGCCTCGTCGGGCAAAGGGCACTTGAAAACTGAAACATAGCGAAAGCAACGTCGTCTGCATCGACACTTGAACCAGCAGCCGCTTCAAAGCTTGGAAACAAGCCCGATGCGAGCTCATGTGGCGCATGTCATCCTAGGCTACTTCCAGAAAACAGGCGGGCTAGAACCGTCGGGGTTTGCCAACTTGGACTCGTGAAAGTAGCAAAAACACGCCGTAGTGTCTTTACCGAAACGAAACACCAGACATGTCCGCATGGGGTTTAGTGGCTCCAGGATGAAGTCCTTTCGCACATGTAGAGCTTGCCCAATAATACCATATGGTCTTCTATGTTTAAGGCTATCAGGCGCTGCTCACGTACCCTCGTGCAGATTAGCATGGAACCTCGCAACAAGCATGTTTGCGCAGAATCTTTCTGAAGTCCGAAAATTGGTCTTTGGTCCTGTCGCCATGCTGGGCGAAGAGAGGTGGCTCTCTGGCAAACTAACGTGGAGCTCAACAGCATCTTCAGGCCAAGTACATGTTTGATGTGCTGCGCGATGTCCTTTTGCAGCTTGTGCTTCTGGACCTTACCGTGCCACAGTGCCCGGCAGGCCCATCACGTTGTGATCCCTCTGGCACCCAAAAATGCACGGGGGGCAGCCGTCTGGCACCTACATCCCTTGGAAGCAGATCTATGTTCAGACAGAAGAGGGCAAACAAAAATCCCTTTTTGTCCCTTTTGGTTTTTGCCCCGTTCCCCAATCTTCCAGTCCCAGAAGCAGGAAGGTGCCTGAACAAGAAACATGCCACGTTCCATTCTAACCCACATGGCTCGGCAATCGGGTCCTGTCCAGTTTTTGATGCCTTTCTTGCTCCGAAAAGCCCAGGGCCCTGCCATCAGCTTGGGGCTGCTGCCGCTTCACCAGCTAGGACCAGGATCTTCTCAAAGAGGTCTGGGCGAAGCTCATTGTGCCTGTCACACGCGCAGAAACGTTATAGTTCAGTGGGAGGCTGCAACCAATCCATGAGTTAAGCCTCACAGAGATATTGCAAGCCCCACCCGGGAATGCCCTCGACAAGCATGCGCAACTCCCCAGTGTGAAGCTCCGATGACCTCAAACGGGTGCCTCTTGTCGCTCAGCCCGCCTCTCGTAGAACTCTGGCAGGACGACCCTTGGATCATTTGATAGGGGCGAATGCTGTCACCTCCGCTGCCTTGCTATCGTGCCCACAGGGTGCCCAAACTGGTAGCAAGTTGCTTGTTGGTCTGCTGGGTCGCCTCCTCCTCGTCGTCAGACATGTTGTCCTAGCGAGGCCAGGCCCAATTCAGGTCAGCCAGGGACGTTTCGAAGCAGGTCCGAACCAGAGGGGGCTGCTGCAAATGCAGGCAATGCCAGTCGCAGAATGAAAGCAGCGGTGCTTACCCCTCACTGTTTACAGCTCACAAACGAGCCCTGGCGAGGTCCTTCACGCGGAATGCAGCCAAAAGATGACGAGGAAACTCAAGCGCTCTTGAGCCAGAATCTCCGGGACGCGGTGCGCAGCAGGCCCCGTAAAGAATTGCCTGTCACTGCACTGCTTGTTGCACCAGTCCAACCATCCGACTACAATCAGATTTGAAAACGAAAAAAGCGAACTGATCCACGCTGTTGGTTTCCACCAACCTGCAGGGCGTTCAATTCAAGAGGTCGTAGTTGTCGCTTGAAGGACACGTGTGATCTTGCTTTTGGCTCCCTCTGCCAACCTTATTCAGAAGTCAACTAGGGTTGAGCAGAAGAGGCGCCCAACAAGCATTTGCCAGGAGACTTCAGCGGTCAAGTTTTTGGAGGAGCAAACCCCTCTCCTCCACACCACCTGGATCCCGAATCCACCCCGTGCGCCTGAGACCAGGCCGATGCCCACACCAAAGCCTTTCTGCGAGGCCTGGCTCAAGCGTGAAGAGGGCGAGATGCACGAGAGGCTTCTGGGGGGGTGGTAAATTTGCAAGGGCACTGCCTTGCTGCAAAAAATCCGCCGAACCGTGGAAAGCCTTCCAAATACTTTCCATGTCCAATGTGAGCTCAATTTGATTTGCAAATTAGGCTACCTTCCTTCTCACAGCCATTTCACTATACTTGCGACCTTTCTCAAGGAATCTTAGTTCCTATACAAATCCACGGACATCTACAGCTTCAATGGTAGACAATCCAGTCATATCAATCAATTTGTCTGGAATGCCTGCGCGCCGCGCCCGGGTGCGCACTGGCGCCTGTCGGCTCGTGCTGCGCAGAGGCGCCTGTGTGGCGTGCGCCGCGGCTGCCGGTGCCTGGTGTGCCACACACAGGAAAGTATTTGGCCAGGTGATCTGCAACATGGGTCGTGAATAGAGCAAAGGGGTAGAGAGGGGTAAAGGGGTAGAGGGATAAAGGGGCAAAAGTGTAGATGCTTACAAACTGAGTGACGGGTCTTGCTCACCCCACCCTCTGCAAAAGCGAGTCAACCGTGCGATGAACACTCCCACGGACTGGGATAAACTAGGTCTGAGGGCAGTTTTGGCAGGAACACAAACCCGACCTGAAGGCTCATCTAGCAGCCCGTTCATCAAACATGTGGCGCCAAGGGTGTGCTGGACCCATCTGGACCCGAAGGACGGCCACAGCTCCAAACTCTTTCCTCCCCCCCGCTGCCCGGAAAGGCATAGTTCTCGCGGGCCTGAAGTTGCACTGGAGCTCGGACAGGGGCACCTGCCACAGCGAAGGCTTCCATCTCCTGCCAGCTCGGCATGTAGTTTAAGGGCGTGTTTTTCTTGTAACTGAAAAAGTGACAAATAAATAAAAAATTATATATATATACAAACATGCTGTCACTGACCGACATCTGCCTCATGGAGCAAGACTCTGCTTCAGCCCCCTCCTGCCGCTCAGCCACTCAGACCTTGAGAACGCCACAAGCGCAAGGCCCCTATCCCACGCAACCCAACAAAAGCATGCACATCTGCAACCTGGTTGTTCCGAAATAGCAGCCAATAGCAGGGGATCAAGAGAGAGAGGAAGAGAGGTCTGCAAATGAACCCGGTCGCGGGCCCACACGGGACCAGGGGATCATGTCCCCACAGAAAACAAACAAAGAAGCTATCCAAGTTTCAGGAACCACTCAGAATCTAGCGAACCTTGCAGCGCAAAAGGGCTAAACATGACTGTGCCTTTCTTGAAAATTTGCGTGGAAGCGATGCCCTGCTTGCAAGATTCCAGGCTGGTCACCTAGCAGAGTACCGTAAGGACCGGCAAGGTCTCTGTGGATGTCCGCTACGCAGCGACCAAGTGCTGGGTCGCCTGGCTTGTGTTGATAGTGCCCCGATTGCCATCGTGACTTCATGGACTTCAACGCTCAATTGAGGCCCAGGCTGTCTGGAGGCTGGTTTAAAAAAAAACACCAAAATTGAGCCGCAATGCTGCGAGCATTCAAAGCATACCCCTCTCTTGCCTCTCGCACCCTTTATTTAGACTTCTCCCCTATGCGCATGCCACTAGCTGAACGCATCTTGTGTCCCAAGCGGCCGGGGAGAACAAACAAGACGTGGGTGTCTCTCAAAACGCTGAAAACAGGGGGACTCAAAAAGTACGGTTTTGGTGTTGAGTTCCCGTTGAAGAAAACCCAACAAGGTACCCTCGAAAAAAGACAGACCCATGTGGCATGATGGCATATCTGACAGCAATCAGAGCTTCGCTTCGGTCCCTTGCTGGTCACTGCTGAGCTGCCAGCTGCCAACCATGCAGAAGGCGCGTTAACATTGGTCTTTCGCGATTGCTTTTGGACTTCCCCCCCCCGGTACTCACATGAAAGTCACCACAGCTGGGAAGCATTTCCATACTGGTTGATCCAGTTTGTATTTTTCCACTGTCAAGATCTTGCACGCCGTAAGTACGAATCCCCTGGCCTGCTAGCAAAGGTGATGCGCAAGTCAGATAAGTCCTTGGCAGAAGCGCCCACGAATCCGCCATCATGATTTAGGAAGCTCTTGATAATCCTACCTGGTGGCACGAGTCCGCTCCATACAGTCCATCTTGAGAGCCCAGCAATGTGTATATTGTTCAGGATCTTGCGCAAAAGCCTTGCAGAAACAGGCTGCAAAAAGCTGAGCGTGGCAGGGTTGCTCCCTCTGCCAAACACATGCCCAGGCTGAAGAATCAATCCGAATGAAGCATCGTAACTTCCATTTGAAGGAATGGCACTTTCACAATCTCTTTCAAGGATTTGCCCGCCTCACAAGATAGCCGCTGTCCTGTCTGCGGCCGTCATCTGGACTTACCTGCTGCCTGGCTGGCAAGCTCCAACGGCAGTTGTCAGATTTGGCATCATCCTTCTGCACCCACATCAAAGTCGGGCGCTGTGACGTTGTCATTGACTTTTAATAGCATGGCAAGACAGAACACAATTCACTCCTATGTGTCTTCCCGGCCCCACGTTCGTTGAAACCAAGCGGCGACTGCTACTCCCGTGGGCAAAAGAATGGATAGCTGGGCACAGTTGCGTTTCCACAGCATAGCAAGGTGACAACCATCATCGTTCGGGTGCTGTGACGTGATATCTATGCCCAACGCAAAAGCAAGCTGGAAGCCTCCTCGCTCCTACGCACTTCCACAACATAGCAAAGTGAACAAGTTCTTTGTTCTGGAACCAAATTAGACTGGGGCGCTGGGACGCACTATCCGCCTTTCCCAACGAAAACGCAAAGCCAATGGCAAGCAGCCAGCAGCAGCAGCGCAGAAAATAACACGCTGGATGCGGCAACGTCTCTGCACGGTTTGCGCGGGTGGGCACAAAGGAATTGGACATGTGAGAGCTTGAAGCATGATTAATATGGCAACTTGTGACGCCCTGGCCGGAAATGCTGCCGGCGGCGAGAACATCTGCAAGTTGACGCAACGTAACCCTATATCCCCTCCCACCGCATACGGGAAACCGACCGGTGGAAGACGCGTCAGGCGATTGACATGCGGCAACTGTGCAGAGCTGCAAACAGCACAGGCTCGCGGGGGCTGAACAGAAAATGACATATAGCGCAAACAAGCATGATTACACATCCAATGGGGCATGCAGATAGGGCCTTCCATACCCAGCTTTTGAAGGTCTATGCTAGCATGCGAAGGGGTCTGCGCGCTGTTTTCACACGCTCACGAGGTCCCTCGGTCATCGGTGCTGACGGGCTCTTCTGTGATGAGAACTTGCCCTTGGTCTCCGCCACCCACTTTCGCAGTGCCCTGGAAGCATCTTGATTTCGCAGACTCTCAGGTTGGGCAAATGGGAAGGACTCTTGCCATCTCAACTGATTGAGAAACAAAAAGGGTGGCTAGCTGGGTCAGAGCCTCATGCCTCATCCTTACTAATTAACTTCCTTTTTCTAGAACGTCCTTTGGGCTGCCAGGCCGATATGCAACCGACATGTTTGACGTGCACGATGCCTCCCTCCTTCACCAGTCTTTCCAATTCTGGCAGCCGAGTCTCGATGTCCGCTGGATTCGTGTCAGCGTCCTGCATGTTTAAGGGAGGTTGTTTGCAATGCTGTCCCACACGTACTTGCCGGAAGCAACCAATTTTTGCGCTCACTCAAATTGGACTTCCAAACATGACCCCGTAGCCCTTACAATGGCCCTACAATCATTGCTGAACATAATGCCTAGCAGTTTGGAAGCCAGGCATGTCGCAGGGTCCTCAGGGCCCAGCTCCTTGGGAGGTGGGTCACTGCCTCGCGTGGGCACATTCTGATGATTGCCGTGCACAAGCTGAAGAAGTCGGGCGAAGCAGCTTTGTGAGGGCCACAGGCTAGTGCGTAGATTTTTCTGGGAAGCATGGCAAGCCTGGCATGCTCACCGCCATCAGCAGGGAAACAAGCTCTGCTGCCATGCTGCTAACTTTCTGGGTTTCGTTGCTGGAATCCTCCTTGTCGTTTCGGATGTCGCTCGAAGAGGAGCCTGCAGCCCCGAAGGATGGAGCAACATTCTTTGACGTGCGAGCGCTTTTCCCAGAGTCCCAGAGCACAACTTCTGAACAAAACCTGTTCTCCTGTCGATTCGTCTGTCGGCAAGGTAAGTATCGTCCAGGAGTTGAGGAGCTAGCTGCCAACAAATCACAACATCACTTGCAACTCGAGCGTCCTGCACGCGCTGGTTATTGAACAGTTGCTTCCGTGTCTGCGTTCTGTGACCGTCGGCATGATTGGTTGATATCTGCCTGGCACCCCAATGGCCAGGCAGTCCTACCCTCAAGGTAGTCCCTTTCCTGAGTGGCAAAACCAAAGGCAACCTGTTTTCAAGGTGCAGCAAATGTGCAGCAAGAAGCTGAACAAAAATCAACATGCAAACTTTACAAAATTTTATCAACCAAGACTTGCGACGTTGCAGGGGTACGTTGCATTTCGCGACAGGTTGACTTTCGAAGAGGGGACAGCTTTCAGCCTGAAGCAAACTGCCAGGGTGCCGCCGGCTTGTTCGGTGGTGAGGACATACTGCGCCAAAGTCGCGGCCACATGATCGATGTTGGTTGTAAGACCTCGCGCACATGAGTCAAGTTCCACAAAACCACTGCACACATTCTCAGCCAGCCAAACACAGCAGGGATGTTTGCAACTGCCCCAGCAAATACTGATGGCAACTGCTGGCAGGCTGTCAGCCTTGGAGTCTGCTTCAGCTGCTTTGTACGGCCAGGTGCGAACCGGCTCCAAAGAAGCATCTTTCCCAGGCCAGCCAACCATGTTAGGCGATGCCGGCTTGTGACCGGCCCAAAATTTGGGGGCTAAGAGCATTCGCTGAGAACCTGCCTTCATCGTCCGCACCGCCAGCCGCCTCTTGCCTTGGCACATGAGATTTCTGCATCAACCACGGTAGAACCTCAAGAGTCAAACAGCAAATGTTGACCCCGGCTGCAGCAAAGAAACTCTGTGTGCAAGATGGCCTGGCCATTGGCTGACTGTGCGTTCGCCTCGGCACCCCGTCTCCAGAGGCAGAATACAATCTAACCTGAACATCCGCTTCAAGTTGCATGCACTGGTTTCTTCCAGGCATGTGGCCTTTAACAACTGATACAGAATCGCCAAGTGGTGCGCCTGCGCCCTGCCTAAACCTCAAGCTTTCCACATCGTGTCAAACACAGGCAGTGGCTTTTTGTTCATGCCTCTGAAGGAAAGACTGGCAAACAGCCAGTTGAGAGATCTTGAAGGTCTCAACAGTTGGACTCAAGATAGAAAAGCATGTTTTGTGGGACGGGAGGGGGGGAGTTGACGAATGTAGGGGCCCTTTCAAGTGGTGGCATCAATTTAAAGGCACCTTGGGCGACACCAGGGTCTAGAAAAAAGACGAACATATTTTGGACAACCCGTGCCCTTGAAACGGCGGAGGGACTATTGCCATTGGCGTCGTCAAAACAAGAAGGCATTCATTTGCTCAGGCGGAGCGCAACAACCTGTTCAACTCCATGAATATCACAATCAAAAAGCAAAACAACTGCGCCACCACCTCAAGCCCGTGATTAGAACACACACACACACACACACACATTTAAACATGAACAAAATTAATTAACTATCGACCCTAAACATCCCCCAACCCAACACCAAAAAGCTCCAAAGGGCCTCAAATTGGAAACATAGGGCCGCAAAATAGGCGCCAGCCCTTCCCACAACTTTCGTCTCGAGGGGCTTCCGCGCCCTCGCCCTCCGCCTCTTTGCGTCGCCGCAGGAGGCGCATGTGGCGACGGAGCTGTCGCTCCGTGGCCTCCAGCGGCGCCTCAGCCGGATGGGAGAAGCGCCTCTGCCAGGTTTCTGGACGAAGACTGTAGGATACCCATCTTTGGGCTGCGTGTCACACTTGTCGAAAATGCCCCCGGCCATAGTCACAGCAGCAGCCATGGGGCCATGATCTGTCCACCCTACTGTACAGAGCGGAAGGAGGGGGAAAAAAAATGCAGAATGAAACAAAGCCAGCTGTGGAGCGCACACGGACTGGACCTTGACAGAAATCATCCTGCAGCCGTGCCACAAGTTGGGACTCCAGCGTCGCCTGCGTCTTTCGTAAGTCGGCGAGCTGCTTTAGCCTCGGCCCAGGAAAGATCAAATAAGCCAAAAAGGGCGGCTTTTAGCACACGCAAGTTCATTCAAGGCGCTTGTCGGCATGGGACTTCTTACTGGCATTCTCCTCCGACACTCGGCGGTCCTGCGACGCATTGCCCAAGATCAACCATAGATTTCTGATTCAGTCAAGGGTCGATCTCCACTTTTTGGGTGTGGCAGTTCACATTGCCAGCATTTTCCTGGGTGGATGGATGGAATGCTCATGGCATGTTGCAAGCTGTGCAGCCAGCATGCTTTCTGCTCCCAGCTTTATTCTGGATAGGCGGGCACACCATCAAGCAAACATTAGAACCTGTTCAGAAACAGTGACAAGAGAGCATCCCCCTAAACGGCTTGATGTCCGACATGGCAAACACAAGCAAATACACACACACACACAAGCACAATCAACAAACAACCCATAGATGGGCAGCGTTGCCAACACATCTCTGACTTCCTATGCAAACAACAAAGGCCCAGAACTCAAACTGACAACAATGAAGGGATGATCTATCAACCCAAGGGCTGACCCTCCAACCCTTCTGGCTGCTGCAGCACTGACCCAAACAGAGAGATGCGGTTTCGCTTGCCCAACAAAAGTCTAGCCTTCAAAGGAAAGGGAGGCTTCAAGGACTTGTTCCTGGGCTTCATGTTCCTGAGGAAAATACAACACAATCGCCATTTATGGAATTTCCCAAAGGGCACTCCCCTACTTGAGCTCGCCAAACTGTGCCCAGATGTGGGTCTTCAGGTGACACACCGAAAAATCCTGATCCTCCGAGTCCACAAAAGGCTTTGTGTGTGTGTGTGTTGTGTGTGTGTCTCTATGTGCGCCTGTCCCTGTGTATTTTTTGAGGGGTACCCATTTTGGCGTTGGTTTAAGGTCGGGACCGCTTTGAGCCAACGGCTCACTATTATAAATTTGTTTTGCAAGACTCCCGTGACCCTTTTGCCCAGTTTGGACACCCCGAGTCCTGGAGAGCTCGGACCTCAGCGGTGAGCGCTTGCTCCTCATTCCAGCGCTGCTCCTCCATCTGCCGCTGCTCCTCGCGGCAGTGGTTGGTGGGTGGAACAAGCCGGCGGCCCAGTTCATCAATAACTTTGGAATGTGGAACTTTCATCATGTATCCTCATGCAGACTTCACGAGGAATGTCCGGCGATGTCATTGCACCAAATTGCAGGTGCATAAACTATATGAAAATGCCCCAAGC